ATATCCCCTATTACCCAGCGTACATCAAGGTGCGGGACACCAAGCAACGCTGTAGTAAACACGACGGCTTCGTCAGGATTGGGTTTAACACGCCGAATCCAACGATTGCACTGTCGTGTGGGTTGAGACGGACGGTGGAATTTGTGTGTGGGTTACCAAGAATATTCTTCTCGGGCCCACAGTAATTCCACACTTAAAGTGTACAAATCTTTTCGGACTTGTACCCGGTTGGAACGGATAATAATAAGGAAAATAATTCTTACTAGGTTCACTGGTTATTCTGGGCTGGCTTCGGTGGAGAGTTCTTGCTGGCGGTGGACGTCTGTTCGGTGTTGAGTTCTGGATACGAACTGTCGGTTTCGGGGAATGTCGAGGACTTTTGTTGCCCAAATCCCCACCGGATTGACACCAGTCGTGGTGGGACCTCCACGTGACCAACGGCTTGTCAGAGTGGGGTATCGGCTGGTCGGATCCGCGAGTGGATATTTGATATATATGTAGAAAAATCAATAATTCTCGCCGCCGGGGTAAAATAATCCGAAATAAAAAGAAATATTTTCAAATTCAGACATAATAAAAATAAAACAGGTTCATTACACCGTGCAAGATATACTAAACGACGTGCTCCCGCACCGGGAACATTTGTTGCTGTCGCGCAAAGAGTTTTGGACACCGGTGAAATACAACCGCGTCGAGCTCGCGACGGTGGCCTAGAGCGACCACTAAGAATCTTAAATGTCGAGGAGATGATTTTAGATCTCGTCGAAGAAAATCCGCAACGTAGCACCAGAAATATCATATCTAGATTTTTTGCAAAATCGCTTGCCGGAGTTATTGGAAGACGTTCCATTAAATGTTCGGCAAAATATGTGGTTACTGCATGATGGAGCCCCCGCTCACTTTTTTCGGAGAGTGCGTGACTTTCTAAACATTACTTTTCCCGATAGCTGGATAGGCTGCGGCAGTCTACTTAGATGGCCCTTCCGGTTCCCAAACGAGATAATGTGTATTTTTTATTTATCCACTATAAACAGAAGTGTTTTTTTTTACTTTTATTATATTAATATAAAAACACGAACCTTTTTTGCAACAAAATTTCCTGATATCGAAGTACATTTGTCATAAAAATACTACTGTATCGGAAGTTATAAAAAAACATACAGTACCAGATACTTACAATTAGAACTGTCATAATTGTCCGACATCAAAGGCGTGCGGACCAATAACATAAAGTAAAATGAACAATGGTTATAAGTTTATGTCATTGTATCATTGTGAAACACGTAAATTGTTTTACATATCGTTACCGTCGGTTTTACAATCGGCATGGGATCCGTTATAGATCGCATCATCAGGTATGTTTCTGCTTCCAAGCTGGTCCGATGTGGTAATTTCCACTCGGGGTTGTATTTATTCCAGTAGGACTGAAATGTTTTATTATTTATTATATCAAATGGTAGGATACATGCAATCAGTATGAAGAATAAATCAAACATAACATAAAAATCTTCTGGTTTTTGCCAGTTTTTTATACATGTGTTGTGCACTGTTTAATACTTATTACTTTTTGTTTATTAATATTTATTTTAAACGTTTTTATATACCTATATACAAGTACGTATACCGGGTATCAAGTAGCTATAACAAACCCTATATATTTTTAAATCGCCGCTCAAACTCTATCAAATGATACTGTTAGATTGTATCCATGGTAACATATGTTAAAATTGCTATAGTCAACTGTTTTTATTCAAATGGCACACTATAGTACGATCGTATACGATGCAAAGTAGAGCAAAAAATTGTCGGACTTTTATCAGAGGAAAATCGTGTCATCAATTTTAGGAGGCGTAAGATGAACCGTTTCAAATTTAAAATGAAATTGAATGTAAAATCTGAAATACCGCCGCATACGCACTGTGTTCTGGTACTAGCTGTAGTCGGCCAGGTGCATCGAGTGTACGAAGTGGTCGGTTATACGTCAAATACTAACCTGGCGAGCTTGATCGTAGAGCAGGGAACAATAAACAGTGGCGCGTACAGAGGTGAAATGTAGTACATATGTGGAATTTAAATAACGAATTGGATTTATAATAAATTACATTTAAAACAAATAGTTTATGAGAATAAAGGGATTTTTGTAGGAACAGGGTTCCAGACGTGAACTGATCTCTTCATCGCACCCCATTACGATTCTTTTTTTTATAAGGAGAACGAAGTTTCAAAGCAAAAACCTTGTATAACAGATATACTATAAATATTTACAGAATGAAAACAAAATATAAATCCTATGATATGATTCTATCAAATGAAAACACTAACAACAATTCTCTACCAATCTCAACAAAATAAGTTATTTTTCTATCAAACAAGAAATGTTAACAAATTATAAACAAAATATAAATTCTATGATTTATGTACTGTACGCCAAACTGCATTTTTCTCATCTTCATTTAATATTAATTTCTTCTTTGCACCCCCTTTTTTAGGTTTCTTAACGTCTCCTTCAATTTTCTTCTCTCTTAAAATTTTGAAAACAGATAATTCGCTTA